TGAGACAGGAGGATTGTAAGTACAAGCCCAGCATGGGCAATTTTATGTATGTACTTTAATGGCCTTGGATCTGGCAGTAGATTTATAGATACAGCAACAAAAGAAAAAATAGATATATTTGACTTCATCATATTAAAAGTAAGACATCAAAAGGCATTATCAGGAAACTAAAGATATCCTACAGAATGAGGAAAAATCTTTGGGACATCTGATAAGGATCTAGACTGTAGTACCAGAGTATATAAGGAAATGTTACAATAAAAGACAGCCCAATTTAAAAATGGGTAAAGCACTGAATAAACATGTCTTCAAAGAAAGTGTGCATTGCTTGCTTTGACAGCGTATATACTAAAATTGGAACCATACAGAGAAGATTAGCATGGCCCCTGTGGAAGGATGACATGCAAATTTGTGAAGCGTTCCATATTTTTATATTAAAAATAAAAGTGTACAGGTGACTAAGGAGCAATTAAAAAGAGGCTTAACATCAGTCATTAGTGAAATACAAATCAGAAACAGTGAAATTATCCTTCACAGAGCTGGGTATGGTGGTATATGCTCCAACACTTGGGAGGCTGGAGAAGGAAGATCACAAGTTTGAGCCCAGCTTGGGAAACTTAATGATGTAGTGAGACTGTCTCAAAATTTAAAATGCCTCAGGACCTGTCTCAGTAGGAAGGCCCTGGGTTCAATCCCCAGGACCACCCAAAAAAAATGTTCATAAAAATATGGAAAAATCAGAAATATACAACCATTTAAACAGCATTACCACATGACCCAGCACATCAGTTGGTTCCACTCTTGATACACATCCAAAATAATCAAAGATAGGTACTGAAACAAGTTTATACGGTAAGCAACATACAGTGGTTTGACTTTAAGTTTTTTACTTTATGATGGTGTAAAACCAGTCACATTCAGTAGAAACAACTTCAGATTCTGAATTTTAATCTTTTATTAGGCTAGTGTTATGTGGTACACCACTTTCTTTTGATGCTGGACATCAATCAAGTCACAGCTCCAGTCAGCCACACAGTCATGCAGGTAGATAAACTATGTTTTACAGTGTGCTGAGTTGCTGAGTTGTAATGTTCAGTAGCTGCATTTTCTTTTTAAAATATTTTTGACTTAACAATATTTTCATTTACAATGGTGTTTCAGACCCAGGGTATGAAAACATGGTCAAAGACAGAACGGTTCAAGAGACTAAGGAAAGAAACATACAGATCTAGGATTGCAGTTTATTAGGACTTAGTACATAAGTGTGTCTTTCATACTGGCAAGGTGGGAGGACTCCTGCACCTGAGGCAAGAGTTACATGCTAAATAAACATAGGTGACCTGTAGCCATTCAGAATATTACTTGGCCTCTCATTTTATGTTGTGGTTTGGGTTTTGTTGTTTTT